TGCTGTGCACTATTCCTCGACTTTTCAAAAGGCTTTGATACTATTGACCATGAAATTTTACTCACAAGACTTGATCAACTAACATTTTCAGACAGTACAATAAAATGGTTTAAGAGCTACCTGTCAGACCATTCTGAAAAGGTACGTAGTAATAACATCTCGTTCATGAATATAAAACTAACAAAAATCGTTCACAAGGTCCCGTGCTGAGTCCAATTCTGTTTTCATTATATTTAAACAATCTTGTACTAAACTTAAACCACTAAGAATTAAATATCATTGCTGATGACACTATCATGCTAGTGTAGTGTACTAATTCACAGACACTAGTAGGAGGTACTCTATCTCTCTTTTATTCTGGCCTTCACAGCCTTAGGGGATAACTACATACCGGGTTGGGACAGACAACATACTGCCAGACCCACAGTTTTAAGAGGGCGAAGATCACGACGATGATGGCACGACGAGTTCCATTCCAGATCGCAGCAGCCCCGACTGTGAGTCAGAGCTCACCTTTTATCCTGCCCAGCGTGGCCAGGCTCTGCCCTTGGCCCCTCACCCCTCTGGATTCCCCAGAGGGCTCCGTGCCTTGCCCACAGGTCCAACTGGAAGAATGGGCCGTTACCCCTAATCCCATTGTCTATGAATCTTCCAGCGGCACGCGCTACAGTGATTAATTCAATGTCACTACATCACACCCCCCCCTCCCCCCGTGGAAAAAAACAGCCATCCCGGCTGACCTCCAAACATCGCAATGCATGGCAACAATCCAGCCCCCAAAATAACAAGAACCCAATGACGATTAGAGGTGGTCACCTGAACCGAACCGTCTTGGAACGGGTCATTGTCGCTGGTCCCTCGTATGGGCCCAGCACAGGTCCCCCAGGGACCCCGGGGGAGACTCGCAGCTGGCCCAACAGGCGTGGTTCCCCCCGGGATGAAGATGGAGGAGAGGGAGAAGGGGGTGGCGGTTGTACCGTCCACCCCGGTTCGCCTGTGGGCGACACAGACGGCGGTTCCATGGGCGTCAAGCCCTGGGATCCTGCGGACGGAGGAACAAAGTCTTGCAGAGGCACTGGCGGAGCAAGTGGTGGGGGTGGGGGGGAGGTCTGGGGTGGCACGTGCCCCCTGAATGATCCGATCGAAATTAGGAATTTCGATCGGATCAATAGGGTATATTAGTAATAAATCGTCATTTTGTGACCCCCACTGCCACTGTGTAGCATATTAGTATGTACCAGGGAGTCTATGAGATGATAGGACAATAGTCTGAGTCCATAATTGGCAATAAGTAACGGCAAAGCAGTTATTGTGCGCAGTTGCGTATACAGTACACGACTTCTCTGAAGGCATACCTTCAACAAGCGCGATGCCTATCACACACGGTTTGAATTCGACCCTCGATCGATGGCTATGCCATCGCCGCACACGCGTCGAATAAAAGGCAGGGGACAAGTCCTTACTTACTAACAACTCCTATCATTTTTCATTGCTGGAGGGGTTGCCCCCCTACCTGAAAATCCTGGCTCCGCCATTGCGCACAGCGCACCCTCCGTAACCGTCCGTCCATCCTTGTCGGCCACATCACACATTCGGCCATCAGATGGTGGAGATGAAATTCCCCCACATAGGGCCCTGAGGGGAAGTCACCTGGCCAACAGGATTTCACCCAGAAGCCCTCTCATGGGACTAATCTTAACGGTTTCCTGCGGCCAGGGAATTGGGCGATCTCCCCCGAGGCTAACTCGCACCGCGGCGCCGTGACTTGGGTTGTAATCACGTGGTCACGATGGGGCTGCTCAGCCACCGCGGGTAGAAAACACACATGACACACACGGGTCAGCAGGCAGGTAGGGGGGCTGAGCTACGAACGGTGGGAAAACAGGGCGGCTCTCTGATTGGTAGGACACATGTGCTTGTGAAACAACGTGGCAGCCCCGCGGCCGTCCCTTTTGATGTGGAAGGTAAAGTGCGGACGTCTGAGAGGGCACCGGTCCGGGGAGAGTGGCGGGAAATCCAAGCCACCTGATTGGCCGGGAAGGCCAGCGGATCAGCTCCGAATTATCTTTGATGTAGAGGACAATTAAAAGGCGAGAGAAGGTAGGGATAGGGAGTCATGTTCTTCTCAAGTCAGGGATCGGAGTAGTCACCTTGCTGGCCACTTTATCGTCTGTGAGACGAGTCCCAGCACAGCCAGGCACTGCTCCCGGTGAGAACTTCATGCAGCCTCGCCTCTCCACGGCTTCCCGCACATCCGAGCCGAACCGTGAGTATGCAAGAGGGAGTTGGGATTTAGTGTAAGATCCTAGGGAGTTTAATTCTAAGGGACGAGGTAGATCGGGTTTAGACCATCGGGAGATAGGCTCGCAGACACGCCGGGAATAAATCTTTAGTGATCAATAAACCTTGTCGTGTGGTTTCTGTGAGTGTGGAATGGGCGCATGGTGGTGTGAGTCCGCTCGTCGTGGTACGGGGATTTGCGCGCGGGTAACTCTGTTGAGGCGGCCATTGTGTGCGCGCCCGACCGGGGTTCCTGCGTCACTGTACCCTGTGTTTGCGCGCGAGTGTGTCTTTACCCACCTGTTTGCGCTCGCCCATACGTGAGCGTGGTGAGTGCGTAGCTCGTGGTGAGCGAGGTGAGCGCGTAGCTCGTAGTGAGCGTGGTGAACACGTAGCTCGTGGTGAGCATGGTGAGCGCGTAGCTTGTGGTGAGCGTGGTGAGCGTGTAGCTCGTAGTGAGCGTGGTGAACACGTAGCTCGTGGTGAGCATGGTGAGCGCGTAGCTTGTGGTGAGCGTGGTGAACGCGTAGCTCGTGGTGAGCGCGTAGCTCGTGGTGCGTGGTGAGCGGCGGCGGACTCGCACAGAGGCATGTGAGATTATTCATACACCCCTTTAAATAATCGCCGGGACACCCCCTCCAATCGGCTACGCGTGTACGAGTGATGTCACTGCCCTTTGACCCCTGCCCTCCCGTCCCATGCATGCAATTGGTGCGTGTCATTGTGAGAGCGGCCGCGTTGGGTTGGAGCTGCCGTGGGCATACGAGTGTGAGCAGGAGCATACGGGGAGTCTCCTACTAACGTTTGGAGGAGTGTACGCAGAGAGTATGCGGATTAATTCCAGGCAGCCGTGCGCCAGCCTCGAGCTATGCCCCCCCAAACAGGACCCGCGGACCCGAAGGGCTGCGCCGCGAGGAGAGGAGCCGGGGAATGGCAGCCCTCTCCTCACGTGCGAGGAGTTGAATAGCGGTGGCTCTCACACGAGTGAGGAGTCCAGAGTCCGCAGCCCTCCCGAAATCAGCCTTCCCACGGAGGGGGAGCCGGGGGCCCGCGTCCCCCACAAACCTACATTGGGCCCTGTTCATCCATAAAATCCGGATTGTCAAAATCTGCGCTATACTTAGCTAATTAATTAACCCCATTGTCAAATCCAAGACACCTAAGGCGTCCCTCTAATTGCATTGTAACTATCCCAAGAACAAGAATTAGAATAGGTGACAGCCTTTGCCACTGCAGCACCAACGTTTTAGAACAACCTTGTTTCCTCACTTAACATCATAAATCTTACTTTAAAAAAATATTCTGAAGCAGGAGATTAGTGCTGGATACAGCCACATTTGCGAATGCGATTGGTAAACTTAACCATAAATAATGCATTAGATTTTAATGTACAATTTTTATTGAGGGACTGTGTGTTTCTTGGCGTGGTCTCGGACTGTTTTGCTCTTGTTTAAGTGCCTTTCTGAAACTTGAGAATTGAACCTTATGGCGGGACCCCGGAGTCCCGAATAAACGGAAGTCAAAATCGCAATTAATTTATTTATTTTTGGCGACTCCGTCCCACCGCGCACATAAACGCCGCGCCCCACCTGCCACGGATCATTGTTGTCATGTCGTCCAAGTGCAGCGACGACGAATGCGCAGAAGAAACAAAACTTTTAAACTTTGATTAGCACATCGTGTAGAGCTCGTCGAGAGGCATTGATTGCCATATCGTTCGCCTTCAACAGACATAAAATGACGTCGCAAAGCAGTTTATGCGAGAGCTGGGGGCTTATGGGACCCCGGGGTCCCGCCACAGGGTTCATATTGATGATGAGATTTTAATGTGTATATATTATATATTTAAGGGGCGCGATTGTGGTGTGATGTTATCTTCCTTACTTGACCTGGTATGCAGGAGGTCGGGGGTTCAATCCTGACTCTGACGCCTGTATAGTTGGAGTTTGCGTGTCTCTCTCCCCGTGGTCACATGGACTTTTCTCCGGGTCCTCCAGTTTTTCCCTCCACATTTAAAAACAGGCATTTAGACTATTTAGATTAATTTGCTGCAATGAATGTCCAAACGATAAGCCACTTTGTTGAGCTATCATTTATTGGCAGGTCCCTTTTGAATTTTTTTTTTAATACCTCAGTGGGCTTTGTCTGGTAGAATGGGGATGGTTTAGTTTTGTTTGGTTTTGTTTGGGTGATTTGTTTATACCTGTCTTGTACTTTGCACTCCTATCATGCTTTTTTATTGTTTTTTTGTTGTAACGTTTTTACCCGCCCTGATAAGATATCTGTGTAAAATAGCTTCATAGCGCAACGGATTCCTCCAGTATAAATACAAATTTTTATTCTGATTTTATTTGCTGGATCCCTTTTAGAGGAGGTCTGGGTTTTGAGCCTTTAGGGATCATCCAATTTCCACCTCATACAGTATAAATGATAGCGCCAACCCCTACCCTCAGACTCAAAAAATCCGAAAACTCTTTTTTTCTCATGGGAAAAGAATACAGAATGTATACATTCGTATAGATTGGCCTAATATATTAGTATTGGCAGAAATACGTATTAATCATCATGAGAGAGTTTTATAACGAGTATCACGTGTACAGGTGCCTCGCTCTTGAGCGGGGCACGCCCCAGAAAAGGACGTTTTCCGAGCAGAGCTGGATAAAAAAAGAAAGAAAACGGGGCACAGCTGGATTTAGAGAGAGGGGAGGGTCACAGAAAGAGGGAAGACATAGATGTTGCACAACTATGAAGGTGTCTGTGCAACCAAGCTCTAGCCAGGGTGGAACCAGAGAATGCTGTACGAGGCCCCGTCTGGACCGCAGCGCGGCGGTTCGAGACATGCGCACATCCGAGCCAAGCCACGGTGGAGAATAAATGCGTGCAGTGTGGACGACACGCATCTCACTCGTCTGACTCTTGACGTGAAGACGCTGCTACCAAGTGAATTACCGGGAGTACAGGATGCCGCTGACAGATGGAGATGTCCTCAAGCAGGTAATGCAGCTTCGCGTTGTGTTTTACTTGGGGATGCTGAGTGATGCATGGGCAGGCAACATATTGGCTGGTTTACGGGAATGTCAGCTCATTATGGGAAGGATGATTTTTAACGCTCGCTGCTGATATAAAAAAGTAGTAAATGTGGCCAATAAAATGTGGGCGTTTTGAGATTATCTTACTAATAGACCGTGTAATACTAGCGTATTACATAATTTTCAAGTGTACTGCCACAGATGGTGCTGCAACACCAAAACAGAATTCTAATGCATAAAGCGAAAATCTCAATACTCGGATTTTACTTTTTGGTTTTATCCCCATGACTCACCCAAACTTCTCAAGTCCGATTCCCACAGTATGTGTAACTTAGAGTTCAAATGTGTTATTTTCAGGGTAGTTTTTTCGCTTTCATGTGAACTTTGCATATGTCTATCTAACATATGTATGCTTGAATATAGGTCCACTGAGGACCTATATGACGCACTGACAGACTACACAATATATATTTGTTGGAATTCAAATGGAGAGCGTTAAGCACCTCGTAATATGAATAAATTGGCTAACAGTGTTAAAAGCATAGCGGACAGCAGCCATTACAACCTTCCCTTTATTTGGAACATTAACTGCACATCAAAGAATGGCTGAGATCTAATATAGCACACAAATCAACTCGGATGTAGTCTATTCATGGAGACGACGATGTCATCAGCTCTAAGATAGGAAGGGAAGGTGCAGCCCTACAATTGATTGTCCCCGACGCTGCTGGCTAATGATCTCCACTCGAGGGAGTTCCAAGGAATCCCAATTTTAGATGGTATTTTGGCCAACTCTTTCATGATGGCCACACATCTTGGCAGCGGTAGTCCTAAGGTATAGCCAAATACCAAACATCGCTAGCGGTAGTCCTAAGGTTGATCCAAATATCAAACATGGCTGAGCTAAACATGGGAACATCTTTAAGTTGCTGTATTGCAGCTCTCGGGAACTACTGCTTCGTCCAGCTCCTACTTGTCCCACCCTTCATCTACCGGCATCAGCGTGAGGCAGTGCGTAGCAGACACCTGCGGGTTACTGGGTCCTGTGAGCACTGAGATAATGGCGATAATCCAGAAATTCGGAAGTGCCGTTGGTGTAGCAGATTTCAGAATCCTCATGAGATTATACTTGCAGGACTATCGTGACCAGTGAATGTGTGCAATTAAATTCACACATTTTTTGAAACACACTACGTTTCTTGCCTATTGCCCAGCCTAGCCATGCTTTATTTCCCTACACGTGTATAGCCCATGAGTGAATACAAATGTACTCATGCTTGCACACAAATGTACACATCCACTTGTTAAACAAGGCAACCGAGGCACGCTTGGAAACATCCACCCTTGTGTGCACATTAGCAGAGTTGGCTACGTACGGTGTGCGAAATAAGTTCAAAATACATGCTTGTACACCAGTAAGCACAAACTCAACACACCTGAAAATGAGGCACACACATCCTGACAACATATGCATGAATTGCTCAGCTCACTTTTTGCTCAGCATTGCCACTGAGCGCCCTTCTGAAAGTGTTCTAACGCTGCACATAGTCGATGGTTTGAGATGTCTAAGTGATGTGCTTGTGAATATCGAATGTATATCGAACTCCCAATCAAGTCCACTGCAGTGCCGCACATTCAGTGCAGCTTTTCTGAAAAATCCAAATGTTCTCATACCGTAATAGAGATATACTGTTGTATACAAATCATTATAGTTGGCGAATGTCATTCATGTGAAGCCATTCGTTTGAATGTTAGTATTTAGTATTTACTGATTACCAAAGGTTATGGTATATAATTATATTGCCATTATACTGAATGTGCTTTAAAACATTCCAAATGATTCAAAATTATTCCCAAGACAAAAATTAGAAATTGTCATGTAGGCAGCTTTGTTTAATGTAGACAGAATCAATGCATGTCCAGTGCTGCTATGCTAATTATCGAAAGCCATGTAGCTTTCGATAATTAGCATAACGCTCATGTTTCTAAAACCATGTATACTAGTTTTAAGGAAGGTCAATCATGTATACTGTATAAGTAAGCCGATAATGTTCCTTTAAAATAAAACTACTAAATGCTGTTTTATATTAGATTATAAACACTTGAGTGACCAGTGGTCAGAGGCTGGTTCAGTAATCGTTGCAGAGGTGGCTGTAGAACAGCTCAGAGGAGCGCTGTCCACGAGCAGGAGGCGCTGGATCATTGTGGACCCTATAATCACGTGACCCACGCGTGTGCGTGTCTGTGCGTGTGTTGTTAAAGTAGATGGGGAGCGGTAGTGTAGCGGTTAGCGCGCTGCACTACGAACCCGATGAGGCGGTGACCCAAGTTCGATTCCCGCTCACGGCCACCAACACCAGTGACGATTATCTGAACCGGTTCTGGGCATCCCCAAGGTTAACTCAGACTCAAATGAGTACGTGGTGCGGTGTGTAAACATCTGTACTGGGGAGACAAAGGCGGCCGAGTGTGGTTTTGGCCACCCACTCCCTTGTGCGCCGTGCCGACCTTGATAGGTGCTCGCTAACAGCACTTGCTCCAAACATATGTTGAGGCTCTACGGAGGATCTATATATTTGCGTTGTACTGGTAGGAACGAAGTTGTAAACTGAGTGTACCAGCCTGCAATAGATTAATGTGTCCGTCCGTACGTCCCCTTTCAATACTTTAACGAAGTGAAATCTATACTCTTTGGTTATATTGGGTAAAGTCACGTAGGTGAAAATAAAAATAAAATAACAAAAAATCACGACGTTTCGGCCGCAACACAAGCGGCCTTCATCAGGTGAAGGGACGAGACTGTCTGGAGGACAGCGCTGGAGTGGAATCTCGTGCTGTTGGGTGTAAAATCGGCAATAGACAGCGCAGAGACTTGTCCTACCAGCCCACCCTGCAGGGACCTGTTTTAAATCAATGATTATGTAACAGAGGCCACGTGTGCTGTGAAACAAAGCTGCCCTTCATATTGGCTGTTAGAAAACATAAATGAGACAGCACCAAACCGCTTTGTATGGCCAACACAAGTTTGGTGCTGTTTAAGGTCACCTTTCCATTGCACAGTCGTGCACATCACGACTGCGGGATACTTTGAGCTCAAATTAAATGTGACAAGGTTGGTGAACGCAGGAATGCGGTGGTGCTGCTTTAGCTGGGAAATGATCCGCACACTGGGCTTGGTTGAAAACCATCGCTTGTCCAGCCAATCCAGCCCGGACCGGCACCATCCAGAAATGGATTCCCAATGAGTGACGAGCGACCCCTAGCGCCACAGCATCAAGGTCTTTCAGAAAAAAAAGTTCTGTACATGGCAGTGTTTGTGTGTTTTTCACGTTGCAGTTCAAAATGTACAGTTTTTTTATGAATCCACTGCTGGATGAAACGCCCCTCCCCCGTTTGTATGACCATACCTCACCAAGCTGGTCAAGTGCGGATTTGTGAAGGGGGTCGTAAAAGTGATGGAGGGCGCCGCAGTTTCAGAGATCTCTCTGCATTGATGTCAGCCATAGCCGAATTCAGGTAGCTGGGTTCAGCACTCATTCCGCTCACAGTTTTAAGAACTCAGTAAATGCGCTCTCTAAATAAATTGTAAATAATTTTACCCTGAAACCTGCAAGCCCAAACTCTCCATGCAGGATTTGTAACAACAGTCAGGCCAAGACCAAGGGAATGTAATATATGTCACGATGCTTCAATTTCTGGATGAAGTGGAATCAAGTACAATAATTAATGTGTTTCTGTTCATATCTAATGCACATTACGTAGGTTCACGTGACCTCGCTGTGTACTAAAGGCCGCTGTATCCTATATTGACAGTATAAAATAATCATGAATAGAATCGTAACCTTGAAACTTTACACTCAGAAATTAACTTACTGGAACAATTGATGGGAATCTTCTAAATGTACCTTACCGTTTTTTTTGTTGTAAAATCGCCAACACGAATAGACCCGAAGTGATATTATAGAGGCAGAGCAGGCGGCGAGCGTCCCGTGCCGGCAGAAACTGCATTCGGTCAGAACCGCAGCATCCTCCAGTCGGACCGCACTCGGCCAGAACCGAACAGGTCACTTTGCCTTTGGGTCGATATGAATCGAAAACACAAGGCAATGAAAATCAGGCGTAAGTCTCCATTCTAAGTGCATATACAGTACTGTTGATGAACTGTGTATCCATATATCGACTTTATTCGGGCGTGTGTGACTTCGTCACTAGTTGTAAGCCAGTGGTTCTCAACCGGGGGGACACGGACCCCTGAAGGTACGTGGCCCAAGGGGCAAGTGATGTGATTTATAAATGTGTGAATTATATCATACATGATAGTCATTGCTGAATAATCATGTATGAATCGACAATATAAAATAACTACAATAAAAATGTTCATCCTTATGGTAGCCTTTAACTTTACAAAATACTTTTGAGTTTACAAAATACTTTTGTAAACTCATGGATCATAAACAATGTGGTTTCCAAGAGTAACCAGCGAGCACACACAAATTACGTCACGTACGCAAAGCGTCCGTTGACTTTTTTTATTCCCTTGCAGTTACTAGCTAGTTAGGATACCTCACAAAATGAGAAATTGCTTAAAATATTGACACTCATTATTCATACATATTTCTCAGAAATATGTTGGGTCGGGCAAGGGGGGTACTCGGTTGAAAAACAATTTAACAAGGGGTAGTACAATAGCCAAGAAAAGGTTGAGAATCACTGTTGTAAGCCATACGACTATAACATGATTGTAATCTAAGTAATTTACACAATGAGTGTGGCAATGTGGAGAAAGCATGAGCTATCGGGGATTTGATTACCACCCTTCCCATGTGTAGAGTCACGCAATGTGAGTGGCAGCTGTGATGCGTGCTCCTGCAGGTGAAGCACATGGTTGCCTTCATTGAGCAGGAGGCCACGGAGAAGGTGGAAGAGATCGACTCCAAGGTGAGCAGGCGAATCTCCTCATTAAACTCCTTGTTCCATTTGGAAAATCACGTGCATGTCTTAATATCACAATAATCAGCTGCAGCCCTTTCTTGAGCCATCCATTTGACACTGCGATTTAGTTTTCAAGCACAACAAAGAATACACAGAGCCCTGAAAAGCCATTCATTTGTAAAAAAAAAATACAGTAGAAGATAAATTAGAGAACACAAATATAATTTCATAACAAGCAATGAGAGCATCAAAGGCACAACGAGGAGGTTAATGATTGGGCATGAGCGGAGGAATTTAATGTACATCATCTCTTGCTTCACTCTTTGTGATCGTCTGTATTTGAACGACCACCGCACCCACTTCCAAAAGCTGCTCGTGCTCAATACGCTAGATATAACGAGAGACGATTGTCGTCGTGAAGGCGTCTGAGAGCCGTGTGTCCCTGATGTGTGCACTGCGCAGGCAGAGGAAGAGTTCAACCTGGAGAAAGGCCGCCTCATGCAAAGCCACCGCAGCAAGATAATGGAGCACTACGACAAGAAGGATAAGCAACTGGAGATGCAGAAGAAAATGTATTCCATTCCACGTGACAAGCGGCTAACATGAGTACCCTGTACATTCGACGATTATATACATACTAACCCAGTGTCCACTATCAAGATCCGTGTATCGTCTTACGCATCTATAATTTCCTTACCCCGTATCCATACCTCATCCGTGCCTGAATCGCATCCAAACTCGACTACTGTAGCTCTCTTCTTTCTCTCCAAACCCCACTGACATGGCACGGGGAAGCCTTCATCCGACAGTGAATTCGCATAGCGCTGATGGCTGTAAATTATTGTTCATAGTCAGAGATATCACATTATCATGGACATGTGTAGCGTCGCTGTCAAAAACAATATAAAGCTATAATTAAAGTTAAGAAACTATTGTTGCATCGTACTGAGCTATTTTATCTAAGTCTTCCTTGAAAAAGACAATTAACCTGCATGGTCTTGCCCCTGATAAAGGACAATGAATTCAGGTAATTGTAATTGTCATGCAGTGAGCTGCCCAACACTGCATCAATTCAGTGTGTTGTGTAATGCCCTCATATACCCACACTGACATATCCATGTGACCACTGCACCACCAAAGGCCAACTTCGCTCTGTTTTTGATCCCCAGACAAATTTCAAACCTAATGAACCAATCACGGCTGAAGGTTTTGGAGACGAGGAATGATCTGCTAAAGGTGATCTATTACATGAAACACCATCACGGTATTTTCGGCACGATTTTAAACGTTTAAAACCAGGCATGGGACCAGGGACCGTGCTAAAAGAAGTAATCGGAACCCACGGAGTGGGAAGGAAGATATAAGGGCTCTCGGGGCCATAGGGTCTCGGATATATGGGAGGGAAGAGCAGGGCCTTGCGAGATCAGGAACACCTAAAAAAGGGCGTGCTTTCAGTTGTATCTGCCTCGAGTGAGCGAGTTCTGGAGTGACACAACGGGAAAATACATCATATCCTTGGTTAGTTGAATTTGCTTTGCCAGGTATTTTTCTTCATATTGACATAGAAAAACCGCATACATTGTAGTAAATGCTATGTCAGAGGTACAATCATGTCCGAGAAGAAACGTAGTGTGTTTCAAAACATTAATGTTTTTTCGACTCATTAATTCAATGCGAGCAACATAAATAAAGGCTCATTAACATGGTATGCAGGCAGGAATGTGACTGTACAACCTCTCACATTAACGCAGTTGCTGATTTAAGTGGTCTCGTTTTCAGGAATTACTGAATGAGGCCAGGGGAAGGCTCGTGCAGCTGACCCGCAACGCGACGGTATACAGGACAATCATGGACGGCCTAGTATTGCAGGTAGGTCAATCCCTGAAGCCTGCACACCCACACAGCATCCCAGCACTGGGGCACATAGTCCATAGGCCAGAGCAGAAATCGGTACTACCTTAGGCAGTAGTATTTTGATAGTACCGATTTATTGATATGTCCAATTCGAGTGAATTAATTGATATCTCCACAGTTTTCAAGTTGGTATCACAAAATACGCTGTCATTGTCCACATAACTAAATTGGAATCACTCAGGTTATCAGGTTATGCTACTTCAGATGGGACCGACAAGTAAAATGTCGGATCCTGGTCGCATGGACTAACAGAGACTTGGGGCAGTCAAGTTCAGGCAGGTGGTGCATCCCGCTACAAACGAAAGTTAACGATTTCTAAGTGAATTCCACAAGCAGTCAACAGACAAGGGTCGTGAGATTGTAACTACCTCGCCTGGTATACAGGAATGTGTGGGTTCGATCCGGCCCAGACTCCTGTATATTTGAAGTTTGCATGTTCTGCTCATGGCCGCGTGGATTTTTCGGGTCCTCCAGTTTTTCCCTCTATATTTAGAAACATGCGTTTAGAGTATTTGGCTGCTAAAAATGTCCACATAAGCCACTTCATTGAGCTAGCATTTGTGACCAGGTCGCTTCTGACAAAGAGATATGTAGCTCAGTGGGCCTTACCTGGTAACATAAGAATAGTTTAGTAGTTTAGAATGACTCATCGGTGCTTGTATTTAATCGATACTCATGGTTCGACTTGTGGGAAACATTTGCAATACATAATGACCTAGCCAAACTGAAACGACGACATGACACAGCTGTAATTTAGTTACCACTTTAGAGAAAATAAAACAAACATACTTTACAAAAGTCTCAGTCTACTAGGTGGAGACACATGCAGGTGTTATTAGAAAACGAGAGGTCAATATGTTTTAATTGAGAGAATGAGGCTTCGGCATACATATGCTCAATTAGATCCCACAATACTGTCATTACATACGTATACTGTACGCCATATAGTCTGATATTTTGTAAAACTGCACGTTTTAATAAGAACATACATTGTATGTATATGCATATATTGTTTACCGCGAACTTGGCTGAAGTGGCACAAAACAAGTTAACATGCTTGCATAAAAATAACAAGCATAACTGAAACGGGCCAAAGGTAAAAGAGCAATGCCACTTGATAGACCATCGCCCAGCACAGCAGAGATTAGATGGTGATTATTATTGTGAATTTTATTTTGGTTATGCAATATCATCATATGATACATTTCCAGCCATTCCTCACCCACACACAGTTCTCTGGTATTGAATAAGTGGGTGGTTGCTTTCTTGAGGCTTCACATAGTCAGCTCACGGTGGTGCAGCCGTTAGTGTCAGTCTACAGTCAGTGAATCGCTAACTGGTACGAGGGTGTTTTGTCATGGACAAGCACCAGCTCACCTGGTGGCCTCACAAGCAGTCATGGATGAGCCCGAGTTGCAAGCGGTTGTTGGCGATGTCCTCTACCCAGGGGTTGCTGCAGCTGCTGGAGCCCGTGGTGATCGTGCGCTGCCGACAGAGTGACCTCGCCCTGGTCAAGGTGAGAAACCCCCGGGGGCTGCTTGTTCTGCCCGCGCAGGATGGTCCCGCAGAGTTGAGTTACGGAGTGAAGAGCCCATTTTAGAAGAATCCCAACAAGTGGAATATGAAGCTAAATGGTCATCGCTTCTGCTGAACCTAGCATGAATAGCCGGACAAACGGGGGTCCCGGGTGGGGGATGGGACTTCAGACTTAACCACATTCCCAGAAACGCATGATTGTTGCGTTTGTTTTAGTTTATATTTCGATTTTGTTGGATTATATCTCCCCCCCCCTCTCCCTTTCTTCCCTGCTTATAAATAAGCTACACACGATCGCTGCCCCCATGGTGGCGTGGTGATGGATACAACCTTCTCATATAGGTCTTGTAGCCGATAAAGCGATACCTTGGTTCACTGCGCATTTGATTTTCATGTATACCTGGCAAAGCATTGTGTGGTTGGGTTCTTATAAAAAATATATATAATAAAAAAAAATATCCCGACAAGATGGTTCTATCGATTTAGTGACACCTAGACATTTTTAGTGGCTTTAAAACAATTACTGTATGTACAGTAGTGATTTGGTTGTTGAAAGGAAATAACACAAATGAAGTTGGTTTGTTTATCCAGATAAGAACTTGAATCCACCGATGACATATATTATCCCATTTAAATAAATAAACATATCCTAGGCATATCAGCCATGTGTCATGCAATATGAGACCATTGTTCTACCATTGATCACCAATTGTTGCAGATTATACCTCTCAAGAAAAGTGCGTGACTTTTGTATTCAACGCCTGTCTCTATACTCTTGGTAACAGTTGGCGTTATAAAATTTTGATTTAAAGCTTTCGTGACTGCAGTAATTCATATTCTTAGTTTTTTCGGTAAAGTCACGTTGAACGGAAACAAGAAAATAATAAAATATATATAACAATAAAAAAACAAAAAATTCTCACGACGTTTCGACCATAACTCAAACGGTTTGCATAAATTTATTTTTAAACGGCGCATTTATTTATTTATATACAAGCACAGAGACAATTTCAACCGAGAAGATGGATTCTATCTTAGCAATCATTGGAAAGATTTGATAAACCATTTCAGGTCTTAATTGATTGTTCACGCTTACAGTGGCTTTCAGACAGCATACATTATAAAGAGATTCGTCTCCCCCCTCCTCTTTTCAGAATATAGATGGACTAGTCCTAAATAAGTTGGCGTTATGTTAGATTGTATCAGGTTTATTATAGGACCTCCCTTCCCAGTATCAAAATATAAGAATATATTTTCCCCTTTCTGGCAATAAAACAGTTTGTGTTCAGATGTTAAAACACCAAACTGAAACCTTTTGCAAGGAATCATGCTTGCATTAACCACACATACTTGTGGTGAACATGCAAACAAAATACATGCTCTGATAGTATTTGCATGTTCACCACAAGTATATGTGGTTAATGCAGACATGATTCCATTAAAAATGTTTCAGTTTGGTGTTTTAACATCTTAACACCTGTTTTATTGCCAGAAAGGGTAAAATCTATTCTTATATTTTGATACTGGCATGGGAGGTCCCATGATGTAGCTGGTCACCTCGAGCTCTCAATGTTCTAATAGTGGCATTGTCTTTGTGCTGTTCACCTTTTGGCGTCCTCTGGTCTAACACTGTTGAGACTAGGCTCTAAAGAAAGCTGTCTCTGGTGTGGACCAATCAGTTTGAAAAACAATGCATATATTATCAGAGCATGTTTTTTTTCATGTTCACCACAAGTATATGTGGTTAATGCAGACATGATTCCTTGCAAAAGGTTTCAGTTTGGTGTTTTAACATCTCAACACCTGTTTTATTGCGAGAAAGGGTAAAACCTACTCTTATATGTTTCAGGTATGTCATTAACATGCATATACTAAAGTGCATGTGACTGGACCCTTTCCCAGAGTTCCGTGACCAAGAACATTCCCACGTACCGCGCGGCTACCAAGAAGGAGATCTGCATCACAGTGGACGAACAGCTCTTCCTGCCTCTTGACATGTAAGTCCCCATCATTCTGGTCCTCACCAACACCCGCGCGACCTTGCCGAGCAAAGTCCACCGATAGAAATACATAGTTCATCTCAGTTGATTTAGCACAGGCCGAGTGCTGTAGCGTGTCTGGATAACCACATTAGTGGCACGGCTGTGAATGCGTCATGATCTGCTGGTGTTGATCTGCAATTCCGATCCATGCATTGTTTCACAATGGTTGATGCAGATGTGGAGGTGTGGAGCTGTACAATGCCAACGCGAAGATCAAGGTGTCCAACACCCTGGACAGCCGGCTGGAGTTCATGTCCCACCAGGTCAGTCACATCACAATGGGGCGATTGCCATCCATCAAACTCCATCGAGTCTAAATTACTATATTATAACAGAATTTTATTTATTTTACCAGATAAGGCCCACTGAGCTATATAGCTATTTTTCAGAAGCGACCTGGCCACAAATTATAGCGCAAAGTGGTGGCTTTTCATGTGTAAATGTATACCAGCCAAATTCTCTAAATGCATGTTTCTAAATGTGGAGGGAAAACCGGAGGACCCAGATACAAATCCACGTGACCACAGGGAGAGAGAAATGCAAACTCCAAACATACAAGCGTCAGGGTTTGGATCGAACCCACGACCTCCTGTATACCAGGCGAAGAAGTTAACACCTCACCACCGTTGTGCATGACATGCCCGAGTGACTTCTTAAAGCTGTCTCTTTTTGTGCTAAGCGTAAATTTCAATACAAGTGACTGCACAATAAAGATGTCGTTGTTTCATTCAATAACATTTTTGTTAGAGACACAATTTATAATAGAAATAACCCCTAGAACATTATCATCCTAACATTGCACTTCGTGTCTTTGTACCTCCAGATGATGCCTGAAATACGCGTGTATTTGTATGGTAAAAACTCCAACCGAAAGTTCAACGATTGAAGCACTGGGAAAACCTCCACAAGCAGCTCATCTGCACTCATTTTGCCCCCACCTTCTGGTCAAGGTCATGACCAATATAATCAAATGGTTAGTTGAATACGTAAATATATTAAGAATACGTTTACATTTCCCGAGTGATGGTGTGAAATAAAGAGGTGTATGTACATTTAACTTTTCGCATAGTACATAACCAAACCGTGCTAATCGGAAGTGAGAGGTGTTGTTGAAACAGCCAGACGCTCACCTGGGACTGCACTTCTGTATCCTTGGCAGGCTCGCATAGCCTGCACACACAAACATTCCCTCAAACCAACCTACAGCCGAGCCCCTGTGCATGCAGTCCACTCGTACACTGCTCAAGATCCTCGACAATTTTCAAAGCATGGACCTGGACACATGTTCTCAGTAAATTATGTCAAACGATAACACATCTAAAAGCACATTGAATACACTTGAGTGCATAATTACAACAAAAAACACCATGTACTCATGTAAGCGTGTAGAGCAGTGGTGCAGTGGTTTGTGCACTACACTACGAACGCAGGGACCTGAGTTCTATTCCTGACCATTGTTAAATTCAGGCTTGTGTTCCACCACTGCCGTTAAGTTTTGTGTTAGTTCGGGCAGCTCGCGTTCAGACACCACCCCAAGATGTGCTGGTGGCAATGCCACACGCCTGTAATCCAGCACTGTGGAGGCGAGGGTTAGCCTCCTAACACGAATGTTGCTAAATGGGTCAGTTCTGGCAATCTGCCAGGCATGGCTGAGGGGGGAATCACGTAGCCTAGACACTGTCCCATCGTCGTCACAACGCGCTCGTTCCGATAACTACCAGCAGTGAAAGATCGCATACCCAAAGTATGTTTAATGGGTTATATACATAATACAAGAATAAAAAATCAAGACATCAAAAACATTACAATTTTCATTTAATAATATTAATTCTGTATATGTTCATAAATAAAGGAACCATTTTCAGTAGTTTTACAAACTTAAATGAAAAGGTTGATTTGAAAAATGATTATTTAACATATTACACATTTTGAGAATTAAAAAGTATCGACCAATACCCCGCGGCAGCAAATCGGTGACACTCAAAGGCTGTTTGGTCCTCCCCGCGGTGATGAATTACACTTGGAAATAAACGACAGCTGACGCCAACGCTTACATGAATAATTTAATGTCCGAAGTACATCTCAACATATTGCACAAACATTGCGGGTATCACATTTTTTTTCATTTAAATGGCTGTGCTCACATTTGTTTCAAATTACAATAAAATCACGTGTACAAAATTTTACATTGCACTATACAGACAATCAAAACCCACACACGGCATAACCGAGCAAAATTACGACAACAAGGGATTCTAATCTACCACCGACGCACACGGCCACCGCACTGCAGCCCTGCTTGCATGCACACACCCTCGGGGAAGCGTGTACCAAGGGGAATGAATGCATCGGTAAACTGGCCCGAGGAGCATGTACGGGGTTGTGCAGGTTCCACCATCCCTGCCCCAGAATTAATTGCCCCATAGTGAATTGCCCACACGTAGGTGAACAACCACTACGGCGTTCCCCGTGCCCTATGCCTCGTAGAAGTGAATGTGGTAATTATACATTCACGTATTTAAATTCCCATCCTACCTTCACTCCCAAAATTAGCATCTAATCAATGTCACAGCTCTGTAAAAAAAAACGAAGCTCTGAGCTGAAAGAATCGCCATTACCAGCGATGGCCATTGTTGTAGATCATTTTGTTGGCTGCAGTGTGGCAGCTGGAGCTCAGGCATGGAATCAGCATGAACTAAAAAAAAATCCTAACAAAATTCATACATGTAAGGCTCCACAATATTACTCCAGGACTTCTTTTCAAAAAGTTTTATGTTCAGATTAGTAAATATCATTTTATAATTAATTCCCTTTTATAATAATAATTTCGACTTGTAACACGCTACACAATATTCGCTCAATCTCGAAGAGGGAGAATGACTCAGAGGTGCGAGGAGCTATGGATTGCGCGAAAAAGGCAGCCAGGTGAGCCAGCATCGACTTCCCCCTCCCCCCCAAGCTCTGCAATATCCAATATACAAAGGTGTTTCACATGGACGAATCTGGAGCATCCAGGAGAAAAAACCATGTGTGGGAGGGGGCAACACTCTATCCCATACAAATGGAACAGGTGTTGTCCACATTTGCATTACAGCCTTCTAAGAAAGGGTATGGCACCTCGATTCCCATGGGAAGGGCGTTTCACAGTATTTGTGCGATCCACCAACCCTCACCTCCACTGCTTAAATACAGGTATGTGTAACTACCACCACCTGGCAAATATATATACGTCGAGGCAAGGAGTGGGTAAGGTGTCCAAATCTACCATAATATAAGGAACATAAGAATCACGCATACAGAGACTGAAATATGGTGGGAAGTGGTCAATTTTAACCATGGATGGAATTGCACTTCTTACAACGCTTGCACGCGGCCCTCAGAAAAATAAGATTCTGAACCTTTGCTCCCCTACCAATCGTAGCACGGAATTATAATGATCCCCTATGTAGTAGCCGACTGTGTCAATTTGAATTAACTGGAAACACTGGAATGTGATTGCCATTGTGAACCAGAACATTTCACCATCGTCTGGTGCTTCCAATGGATGTTTGTGGATGTGCCGGCGCGGTTATCACCGCGCCACGGGACGTCATGGAGCAGTGTGTGCATGGAAGCGGTAGCGTCGCCATGAGGGGCACCCGACCGCATTTTATTTAACAAACTAGTTGAAGTTTAAAACTACCAAAATTGTAAAAAAAAAAATCTGAATCACACTCATCCAACGGACAATCTAGTAAATAATCCGAAGCGCAAGCTTGCGTCACTAAAAGCCACATCCCCGACAAAAATCGTCCGGAAAGCGTTGCAACAAGGAAGGGAAGATCACAAAGCAGAACGTTTACATGAATATGTAAATGCAATGGCAGGCTTGGATCAGTGCAGCCATCGCAATACGACGGCACCTGTTTCGTGCTAAGCCACTCTTAAAAGTTGCCTAAATCACTGCCGCACTTCCCAGAACATCTCATTTAAACTAACCCTGTTTGGAGACAACTTGTCTATGAAGGACACTTAAATTGGCAACATCAGTGGTCATCATTACACAGATTGTTCAGTATAATTCTAACACACTCAACTGTATTTGCCAGCCAATTCTTCAAATGCTCTGTCATAAATAACTTGAGGACTTTTCAGGCAGACGATTGAGGCCAAATGAGCTCTCCCTTTAGACCAAACATAGTGCACAGGGTGCAGCACTACTGCTGATGTTTCTCTAATCATTCGAACACGAGAATCCTGCTTCGCGATGTTTGGTCAATTCCCTCTCGATTAGGGCCTGAAGAAAACTCACACGCTAAAACCATAACGATAATAAATAAAAACCTACTTGTTTTACTGCCCCATGCCGATACTACTTTGGTAGCCAGCAGACGAGTTTATCATGCACATCGAGGTTATCGGCTTCCCACAAAGTGGAACTCGTCAACAAGTTGTACCGAGTGAACCCCTAAGCTGGGATGTGAACTCGTGAGCTCCCACTTGTGTGTCAAGCACTTTGCCAGGGCGTCACCCAGGCGGTCGTGTGTCCGATTCGAACATACTTTGAGAAATATGATTTTGCTATCGTAATGTATACTTGTTGATGGGTTATTTCCCTTAACAATCATTGGGAATTTACACTTGAGGAGATTTAGACGTTACTGTCCTTGTGCTGTTTTTACCATAAAATTCAGCCTTGCGTGGAACTCCAATAGACGAAAGAAGACGATTCTATAGCATGCGACTGCGCGGCGGTTGACATCGATGTCGATTGCGACGGATACAAACGTCGTTTCACGACTGTCTCGTACTACAACCACAGCCACCGTTCTTGACCAAGTGGCAGAAACATCAGCACACTGCCCGTCAGGCTAGCTGCACTCTCACACACATTTACTCCTCTAATTATTATTGTTATTATTGAGTTGGTAATTACATTTTCATAATCAACGTTAAATTAACTTTTCTACTTATGAGAATTGTTTTAAAATGGCTCTTTGCTGACGTACTTTGGATATGACGTAGCCTCACTTGTCAACATGACGCCATCGCATGTAGTTCCCACAAACAATTATACATTTTGCAGGAGCACTTGACATAATATTAACACATTTTCAAAAACTTAACCCCTTGGTGTTTGTAATAAATCCACGTTCGCGAGCCTGCAACCTCACAGCGATGAAGGTAAAAAGTAAAAGTCTACGTTGTGGACTGTTAGGCCAAGGCTGAGATGCAGTATTTGTACCCGGTCTGCAAAGCCACAGAGACAAGTGGACTCATACGGAAAGTTGGAACATTGGCAGTCGAGGGGATGGAAATCCTGCGGTCTGGTGCACCAAGATCACCCGGAACAATGCAACATTGGGTGGGCCTCATCACAACAGGACAATGCATACTGCCTGCATCGGCGACCAGAGCGTGTTTCCCTGCTTCGCAGCAGCACAAAATTAGCAGCGAGTGTCAGAATCTGCAGCTACAGGAGACACGACAGCGGGCGGTGCACGCAGGAGGAGCAGGCCAATGGATCGTAACGCTCATTCATTCCACTAAATGCACTGTGCACAATCTTCGAAAGAGTGAAAGATGCAGGAGTCGCGTGAAGCAAGATATGTTTTTTTGTACATTATTCCAAGCGCCTCATTACGTGACCGGCACTGCACGAGGACATTCTGGAGCCAAGTACGTAAAATATTTAAAATGCTCACGCTACAGCAGGGAAACATGCATCTAGTCGCTGGTGCAGTATGCTTCCTCGTGTTCTCTCCAACCCGAAACTCTGCAGAGCACACCTCCCTCAATTCCTATACCACGAACCCGCTCTCCCATATCATCACCCTTTGCCTACATGACATCCACCTCACTTCAAAGCCACTCCATCACAAAAAAAACCTGCAGCAGTCTATGGAAAGCCAAGAATAAATTACTTAAGAAAACTTCAGTTTTAAAAGCTCATACACACAGTGTCTATGAAACGACTTGCCTTATACAGTACGTGACTACGTAGCGCGAAAATTTGCCATTGCATGTCGCTCGGTCAAACGGTGTAGAGTGAAAATCACGACAAAAGCGTAAAGCGTGTGCATGAGGGACACACAGGCAATACCACCACTACCACCAGTGTGGTGTCTGTAACAATGCATGTAACCATGAAACCGGCAGCAGATTACCAGGATCATTAATACACGAGTACACATGCAATATTTGAAAGCCATTCTCCAGTCACTTGCCGACTTAAAATCAGACGCAGATTATTTTTGCCACGATAGTGAACTATTCAAGTGTTTCACCTGGGATGTGTTGCGAGCTTGCGCTCAAAGGACAACACGTGGGACATTGCAACGGTTTTTCTCCATACATAGCTGCAATCACATCAAGAAACATCGATAGAAATACACGTTCAAAATAGTGTTACATGTTAATGATTTAAACATGGATAAGTGTATTGGCGAATCAAGTTAATAACAATATTTGAAATTTTGCAGTTCAAATGCATCAGATCTATAACGCAATACAAAAATCTGTGCTTTGACAGATTATATACAGTCACTCTACATAGTTTGGTCGTAAATATTTCGTCTTTAATGCCTCTTGTCAAACGGAATGGAATTGCTTCTTCTGCTCTACAATATTTCACTGCTACTCTCTCAATAAATTATCATGTGGTATATCAATGTATTGATTTGCAAACATGGATGTAAATGAGTTTTGATGCTATTTGGCAAAAAGGAAATATAAAACCTGAATTATTTTGTGATAACATTCATTCAAAACATTTGTTCGTTTCAACTCTGAGACCTTTAGCAATAGATCGGTCACTGTAATTAATGATACAAAGAGCCTTCCCGACAGTGTGCATGAAAGTACAAGCTGTCCGTATTTAATCACGTGTTCTGTTAATTTACTCAGACTTTGCTTTACGTGGCAGAGTTTCAAAATGCGGCTTTCATCGCTTTTAAGTGATTCGCGTGACGATCAGTGGTCACTCGACACTCGGTAGTCACTGGACACTCGGTGGTCACTCAACGCTCGGTGGTCACTCGGCGCTCGGTGGTCACTGGACACTCGGTGGTCACTCGATTCGCGTGACGATCAGTGGTCACTGGACACTCGGTGGTCACTGGACACTCGGTGGTCACTCAACGCTCGGTGGTCACTCGGCGCTCGGTGGTCACTCAACGCTCGGTGGTCACTCGGCGCTCGGTGGTCACTGGACACTCAGTGGTCACTCGACACTCGGTGGTCACTGGACACTCGGTGGTCACTGGACACTCGGTGGTCACTCGACACTCGGTGGTCACTCGACACTCGGTGGTCACTGGACACTCGGTAGTCACTCGGCGCTCGGTGGTCACTCGATTCGTGTGACACTCGGTGGTCACTCGACACTCGGTGGTCACTCGGCGCTCGGTGGTCACTCGACACTCGGTGGTCACTCGACACTCGGTGGTCACTCGGCGCTCGGTGGTCACTGGACACTCGGTGGTCACTGGACACTCGGTGGTCACTCGGCGCTCGGTGGTCACTGGACACTCGGTAGTCACTCGATTCGCGTGACACTCGGTGGTCACTCGGCACTCGGTGGTCACTGGACACTCGGTAGTCACTCGGCGCTCGGTGGTCACTCGATTCGCGTGACACTCGGTGGTCACTCGACACTCGGTGGTCACTCGGCGCTCGGTGGTCACTCGACACTCGGTGGTCACTCGACACTCGGTGGTCACTCGGCGCTCGGTGGTCACTGGACACTCGGTGGTCACTGGACACTCGGTGGTCACTCGGCGCTCGGTGGTCACTGGACACTCGGTGGTCACTCGGCACTCGGTGGTCACTCGACACAGTCGTCGCGTCTGTGATACAAGACCCACAAGGAAGGCTGCACCGTGAATTTCCATCAGCAGTCTACTTACATAATATAAGTTAATGAGTTTATTGTAAGTAAAGCTGATACTCCATTGTTTATCACAACAATACACATATCATGATTAGTTAATCAAGTCACTGAATAGGAGATTTTAGGATAAACATTTTCCTCGCACACACTTTATTTTTATTTATTTCCCTCTACCCATATCCCCTACGCTCGCTACGGTATTGTGCTTCGTTTATTCCCTCAGAGCTCTTCTAACAGGTGGTGCAGTCGTGTGAGTATTTAATGGATTGATGCTCTCAGTGAACCACAAGTCCTGACCAAGCACAACTCCACTTGCCATCGGCTTATGAACCTGGCACAGGCCTTCCTTGGGTCAGCTCTAAGTAAGATGTGTGCCCAATATGGCCAATATCAGTACTGGGGAGACAAAGGTGGCTGAGCTTGTTCCTGGCCACGCCACATTCTCATGTGCTGTGCCAGTCTTAGAATGTGCTGACCGTATATTCACAATCTCATACTATGCATTTAACAACAAACACTATATCTGTCAGTTAAACAGTACACATGCTGCACATATATACATTTTAATAATGTATAGGGAAAGCAGTGGATTAACAAAAGGGCTATACTTGCATATATACATGAGGGGTAGTAAATAGAGTGCTGGAATGCAGTACACTGCGCAGCACGTCCAGAGTACTTCCAGTGGCTGGAAACCCCAGGCTCTGCCATGGTCCCTTGTGCCCAGTTATTTTTGGGGTGCCAGGGTGACGAGATGTTAACTACCTCGCTGGTACACAGGTGGTCGTGGGTTCGATCCCGACCCTGACGCCTGCTGCTGCTGTATATTTGGAATTTGCATGTTCTCGCCACAGTCGCATGGATTTATCTCTGGGTCCTCTGGGTTTTCCCTACGCATTTATAAACATATGTTTAGAGTTACAAAAGCTTCAAATCAAGTTTTTATATGTTTAGAGTATTTGGCGCTATAAATTTGCACGTGATAAGCCACTACGTTTAGCTATCATTTGTGGTCAGGTGGCTTCTGAAAAAGAGCTATATTGCTCGGTGAGCCTGACCTGGTAAAACATAAAAAATAGTATATATTCTTGGTTCTTTCGGTAAAGTCACGTAGAAGGGAAACAATAAAATAATAAAAATATAAAAACAATAAAATTCTCACGACGTTTCGACTGCAACACAAGCAATCATCATCAGGTGTGAAAACCACAACAAGAAAATTTGAAAAAAGTGGCGGTTTTGTGTTGCAGTCGAAACGTCGTGATAATTTTATTGTTTTATATTTTTATTATTTTATTGTTTCCCTTCTACGTGACTTTACCGAAAGAACCAAGAATATGAATCCCTGCAGTCACGAAAGCTTTAAATCAAAATATAAAAATAGTAGTTAGTAATAGTTTTATAGAGTATTAGAGGGAGCTCTGATTATTAGGTATGCAGACGATCACACGCTGATATTATCCATCACATGTTGATATGGCAAGTGTGACTGAAAATTGCTTCGTGTCTGCGATGACAGATTTTTCATGCAATTTTCTGTATGGCAGTTTCCACTTCGTGCAGCAATTTAAATCTTTCTAGTCGAACTGAATAGTTTTAAAATGCACAGTGCTTGTAAAAAGTCAAACCGTCCCTTGCATGCACTTACTTGTAATCATGTCACTCTTGAAAATTACAATATAGTAATAAGATGCTTTGCACACTGAGTACTCGCATAAATAAAATTAAGGTTAATGTTTTGCCTTTCTACTGAAATTAAATAATACCCTATTCTGTACATCAGCTGAAGGATTCCAGAATAATATCTGCAGTAGAATTTCATTACAAGCAAGTGAAGGCTGGTTTCACCATCAGCAAGGAGTGACCTCGAGACCCCATTAACACCAAAATATACTTGCACATGTGCATAGCATATGGTGATTCAGGAATTTTTCTGCACCAGTGCATTATTACAATTAGTTTTAGTGGGGGTTCATTACATAGCAAAAATATATATAATCGTGCAGGCTTCTTGGATTCCAAGTTCAAGCTTCCCTGTGACTGCACAGATCTTAGATTGTTACTGCTTAAACTCCAGTTCGGAATGGAGTTTGATTTCATTATAAAAAACTGTTTTGGTGATTATACCGCACAGCGAACAAAAATCTGTGTGATGAGCACATATGTGAGAGATCTGCCATGACTCTGTGGCCTACAACAACGAGCAACTTAAACACCTGACAGCAGAAACATAAATACCAATAAATGTTTCAAATGTATATACCATGATACTGAAGTATTTTGTTCAAATTTGTAATTGAAGCTCAGCATTAAACCTTAGTAAACATTTGATTAGTAAACATTACAATAAATACGGTACTTCTAAACATGTACCTCGTGGGAAAAAAAATTCATCCGCCAGATTGCAGTTTCCTAAAATCCTCAATCGGTTGGCGAAGTGATTGCCGTGCAGTCGCAGCGAGAAAGACGGCGCAATCCAATCACAGCGCAAGTGAGGACCCGCAACACCCGCCCTGCGACTTGGAGTTGTACTGTCAATGCATGTGTGCTTCTCAAACGTTTAAAATAGGTGCCTGGCGACTCGGGCAGCATGCGTTTATACAACATAGCTCGAAAACACAAAAACAAAGGTCCCCGTATAGTCTTTAAAAGACTGTTGGGGGACGTGCTGTTAGCGAGCACATCACATGTACATACCAACAATCACATTAAAACGGCAAAAAAACTATTAACATAGTTTGTGTTCTCTTGCGATAAACACCCGTTTCACGTATACATTGAGAAAGAACCCAGTACCACAACAACCCAAAAACAAGATTATTTTATTACCCTTTTGTGTGGGAATGTTTGTTATAGTTTCACAATTGGTGTAGAGCTAAAGCATGATCCTGTTCTCAAACTGAGTTTAAAGTCACCCTAGTGATGAGCAGGGGAATAACCCTAGAGAGAGACACTGCAGAAGGGGCGTGTGGTCGTGGCAATATTTTCATAACCAATAGATCCATTTGTGAAATTGAATTTCAACTCTTGCGTACAAGTTAGGACACACAGTCTCTAGCTGAAACCCCATTGCCACACACCTATTGCCCCTGCCCACAGGCATTATGGAAGATCATACGACCCTTCATGTGGGATCACATTACTGTGTGATTTACACTGCCCCCAAAGGACAACGATGGCTTAGTTACGAAAGGATTTCTCATTCAAAAATATTTGGAACAGATATCTCACCTACCAACATGACATGAATAAGGCTCACACCAAGTGCACCTGAAATTGTTCCTTGTCGTGTAATGCAATACACAATTATCAACTAAATTATAGAATGTTACAGTACAGCAGTAATCAATTAATTGTGTACATTGCTGCATTAGGCACAAGGCACATTAGTGCTTCGTAAGTGATGTATGTATAATGCAGAAATGTGTTTGTTTTGCTGGTGCATTGTTAGTATGATGGTACGAAATATTGTAATGTCTTGGACGCTCTGTGTCGACTTTTAAATGATCAGTGGTGGCTCTATGAAGTCGACACAAAACCCCTGCATGCCTCACTAAAATGCAAGCCAGTGTTTAAATGTATTTAGATAGTTTATTCATCCTCATTAAAAGGGAAACAGTGGCTTGTTTGGTGGAGCATTTAGCAGTGTCCTCTCCTCTCCTAGTGCCGGTGGTGTCATTGCCTCTACTGGATACTCTTCCTGCCTCCATTGTCACTTTGAGTAATTAGGATCCCACCACCTTGTTGTGGGGGCATTGCCTCTACGAGGGACTCATCAGCCTTGGCTAGGTGTACCACATAACCCTAAAGCAGAGCTCTTTTAGCCATCACTACTTACAAAGAAATCCCACTCGTAAAACTTGCCCTCGCCCAAAGCGGGCGCAGGGGTTGGATCTGAGGTGGCATTTACGGCATTGGCCAAGATGGCTGCTTAGTCGATGGCTCAGAGTGCACAGCTTGCCGTGGTGCACCCCGAGATCGTGGAGCCAATAGTGCAACGCTACATGTGCGCGCTACGACTTTCAAATCGACTTTCATGATCAGGCATTCTCTATCCACTGCTCGTTGAAAGCGTCCCTGAAGATGTCCCCTGAGGCAAGTTTCCTCCTCTGGCTGCCGATACGTCGCCAGTCTCGCCCCTTAGACATCGCCTCTTATCACGCCACGTCCTGCCCAGGCCCATTTAATGTTCTTAACATTCAACATGATCTCTCTCCTTTGTATTTGTTCCCGTGTCTCTCGGTCTCTCGGTGGACTTCCACGCGTGCACCTCTCCACACCTCTGCACACTTTGCAGCTTGTATTCTTTGTGAGTGTCCATGTTTCTGAAGATCTGAGGCAGCTGTGCACTGACCAAAATTTAAATACCAGTCCATAAATAACTACAGGAGAAAGGATTTAATCTTGATTTGAAGCTTTCGTGACTGCAGGAATCCATACTCTTTGGTTCTTTAGGTAAAGTCACGTAGGTATAAAATAAAATAAATCACGATTTAAAGCTTTCGTGACTGCAATGATTCATCTTCTTTGGTTCTTTCGGTAAAGTCACGTAGAATGAGAATAAAATAATAAATTGATAAAATAAAATAACACAATAATATTCTCACGACGTTTCGGCCACAACACAAGCGGCCTTCATCAGGTGAAGGGACGAGACTGTCTGGTAGGACAGCGCTGTCCGAAAGGGACGAGACTGTCTGGTAGGACAGCGCTGTCCTACCAGACAGTCTCGTCCCTTCACCTGATGAAGGCCGCTTGTGTTGTGGCCGAAACGTCGTGAGAATATTATTGTGTTATTTTATTTTATCAATTTATTATTTTATTCTCATTCTACGTGACTTTACCGAAAGAACCAAAGAAGATGAAAATAAATCACGTTTCCGGCGCAACACAAGCGTCCGTCATCAGGTGGAAAAAGCACGGTCTGCTGCTGAGGTAGACTGTTTTAACCGAAAGTACCAAAGAGTAGAGAGAGGATTTGTTCAGCTCAACAATAAAAAA